CCCGCCCCGCCGGCCCCCCCCCCCCCCCAGCCAGTATGAGAGGCAGGCCAAGCCAAGATTGTGACAGAGCTGCTCAGAAGGGGAAAGGCCCTTTCTCTGCGCTTGTCTGTGCCTGCTCGGGCCCACTGGAAAGCATGGGGCCACCAGATCCGGAAGCCACGCCAGGCATGCCGTTCTTTCACTTACATGTAAGATCCTTTCAGAACAGGAAAAGGTTTCCTGGTCCTCTTTTTATTGTGATGTACATTGATAAAATTCAGAGAAAACAGTCTCTGCTGATTCAAAAATAGAGGCTGAGCTGATAAGCATATGGCCCTCATTTCAAGGGATTGCTCTTGTTTTAATCAACCAGTTGAGAAAGCAAGAAGCAATTTTTAAAGGTATTACGTTTGCCTTCACCCAGAGGAGTGGAACGGGGCCAGTAGGTAGGTTGTGAAGGCCCGGGAAACTGAGGACGGGGAGGACATCAATATTCCTGCATTGTTTGGTGTTTCTGTTTCTCTCTGCTCCCCACCCCTGCCCCAGTTGACACACACTGGTGTCGCTACCCTCTGGGTGCCTCACAGCACCCACCTCTGAATAGTGGAGTCCTGGAAGGGGAAGGAAACAGGGACAGGGAGATGGGAGTAGGGCTCCAAGCAGAAGCTGCAGGTTCAAACTCTGCATCTGGATAAACTCATCTCCTACAGCACAGCTGACCCTGGGTGATGCCCAGGTTGGGTAGGTGGGAGAGCAGGAGCATTAGTGCTCTAACCAGACCCAAAGCCATGACCTTGGGGACCTGGCTTAGCTTCTGTGAGCCTCAACCACTTCATCCCTAGAATGGGGCTCATCCGTGCGGGAAGGATTATTAAAGCTGCCTGATGCTAAAGGCTTAGCGCAGAGCTTGTACACAGAAAGAGCCTAATAAGCAATGTCAATGGCTATGAGCTAGCATGCAAATAGTGCTTATGCCGGGCAGACCCCCTTACAGGGCTTTGCATATATCGTCATTTAATCATTCCGTGTCTGTTCTACAGATGAAGAAACTGGAAATGATGAGCACTGGGTAGTGAATGGTGGATGTTCAAACCCAGGCAGGCTCGGGAGTCCCCGCGCTCACCCTCTGAGCACAGCCCTTCCAGAGAGAGGACGATGGTTCTCCAGGGTGTTACCCTGGCAAGCTGAGCTCTCAAGCCCCCAGGTTTCCCTCCTTGGAGCAAGAGCAGGAAGGGTCGTTGGTCACATAGGGGGAGGAGGAAGGCCAGGGTGACGGCTGGAGCATCTGTCACATCAGGGCTGAGCTGCGATCTGCCGATGGGAACCGGCGGCTGAAGTCTAGCAGGGCGCCCCAGTCGGCTCAAGGGGAACCGAGGAGAGGAGGGGGACAGGAGAGGGGGCAAGTCCGCGATGCTGAGACGGGTGGCCAGAGCACCGCCCCCAGGAGCCGAGGGAGGGGTGGCGGGGCGGGGGGGGCCCACTGGCCCTCCCCCCCC